TTATTAAATGACACTAAATATGCGTACAAATGTTCAATGCACAAACAAGTTGAACAGTCGAAGATGTTTATATAACCAGTTGTTTGCACTTGCGCAACAATCCCAACATCAGTACTAGAAAACTAGAACGATGAGCTGATATGAAAACACTGCCATGGTACTCGCGAGGATGGTAGCTCTAGACACTGCTACGTTAATCATTTTCAGCGGATGGCACCTAACTACTATTCACGCTGACGCGATGTGACGGATGTATCATAGGAGTTCATATGTAATGTTTACAAAATTGAATAGTCAGCACTGCAACCACAATTGCAGTTTCATGAACACTACGGTTTATTTCAAAAGTTGTTCCAAGACTGGCGTTGCTATGTGGTATAGAATAATTTATTGCCCCGCAGAATGCCGGGGTTTGATTCTTTCTGGGACCCTGACATTTATTCTTTACATTCTTAGGGTCAACGCTGCCAGTGTTCGCTTAGAATGGCTCACGTGTTAAGATTACCCGTGTGTGCTGTCACCGTTTCTGGGTAGATACTAAGTGTAAATCACCTGTGGTGCATACCCGCATACCAGTAACACATACACGCCCTCGGGTATGTGCCACTGTCTGGCGGAATGTGTTTGCCGATGTACGTGACGGGATATGGGCATTATTTATGTCTTTACTAGCGCGTCGTATTCGTCAATTCATCTTAAGTTGAATTCCAATGGTAGTTCGCGAGCGCTCAGCCGGATCGAGAGCGGAGCGTGCAGATCCGAGCGGGATTGCTTTCGCTGAATCTGCGATTGTAACGCGCGCGTCACGATGGGAGCGGTTGGTGAGCGGAAATCTAGCGAAGGAGCGTGAAGCGTTATCTTGGTCGTCCCCGGCTTCCCGCCACCATGAAACATCCATTCGTGATTGCATGAAAGGCGGCCGCACAGAGACACCTTACGTGAACTTCTGATCGAATCCGCCGATTTCGGCGGAGCGAGAATTCTTTCTCCGCGGAGCAATCCGTGATCTGTGGTTGCCCTCAATGTGCCGATGGAACGCACAATTTACGCTCCGAATCCGCCATTGGAAGGTGATTTCTACGCTTGGAGCAGAAAAAACTCGATCTGTATCTGCCATTGGAATTCAACATTACCATGTCATACTAGTTTTGGCTCACGCCAAGTCGAGGGGCATATGTGCATGTCTCACAAACTCTGGTAACAGACTCATCTTGTTTTAGACCGTGCCTTTAGTTTGAGATCACGCTTTGTTTCTTTAGATTTTCTAATGTCTGGCGACCGCTGAAGAGGCATCTTTTCACTAACACAGTTTTTTAAAATTATATTAGACGCTTCACAATCTCTTCCACAAACCAGTCTTAGTCAAACAGTGATTAGAACTTTCACATAATAAAACCAATACGACAACTGCTATCGTTATCTGCTGCCTAGAATGCATTTTACATACCGCTTGCACGTTCGCAAAGGTCTCCTTGCAAGGAGTTGCAGAGTTAAGTTTGTGCAATTCGCGCTCATGTTAGCTAAGAGTCTGACCGATGACACTTTTAAATGTTCAGCTACACTTGCATGCTTTTTTAGTGTGCTTATTTAACACTGCTTGATGGCAGGCCACAAGAAAGTATAACATCAGAGTTTTTATAATATCCTTTATTGGGGCCCACCGGATGTCTTTCTGGTTAACCTCCCTGCCTTCTCCCTTTTGTTGCTTCCTCCTCCTTTATTAGGGCCCAATGCCAAATTAAGAATACTTTAGGGGAAGTTTTAACAGGCTTACACATACTGCGAGACCGCACTTCTTAGTTTTGACCAAAGCGTTTTGTATGCAACACCAATGGTCCCCTACCTCCAACCCCACATAACCTTCTTGTGTCGTTGCTTAAAACTTTAGTTCTGTTGTTGTGCTGTAAATAATTATCACCTCTGATGTCTAAAGTTACAGAAATGCAGTGCTCTATGCTACCCCAACCTTTTCTTTTCCCCAATATTATTTGCGTCTGGTTTCTCGCGCTAGTAATTATGTCATAGAAAGTACGTTAAGGTGTCAATTGCTTCCGGAGGGCACTTATACGGGGCAAAAAAAAAAATTGCTTTTGCTGCCCCTAAGCGTGAAAGTCATTACCAAACGTCATGAACAAAAGCCTGTTTTGTGAAGATTGAGATTGTTTCTCTTGAAAAAGAGAACAACCGCGCATAACACTTTTTTTAAGATTTATTCACAGCGTGGTGTTGCCTGGCATCAGTGAGTCATTAGAGACAATCGTTCTTCAATCACTGCAACTTCTATGCAGTCATCGATAAACGTGGATGCACCACAGTGTATTTTTTTTTATGGGGACAACGACATCGCCACATGAGGTGCCGTAATATAGAGGCGCCGAAGCCAGAACACCGTGCCGCGTTGGGACAGCTATGATCAAATGGCTGCCGTATTTAAACAACTTTGATGCATTAATCTCTACAGGTGTGCTGATTTTACAATACCGGGTTTTTCTAACGCTGACGGGCCTCTCTGAACGAGCGTTAAGTGGGCGTAAAAGGCCACGCGGTTGTTTCGGGCCGAGCGCGGTGGAAGGGCGCGTACGCTCCCATGGAGGGGGCGCGGCGTGGCCAAATTCGCCGCGTTGCCGTTGCACGGCGCCAGTGTGCAGCAGAGCACTGGAAAGCGTGCAGCACGGCAAGCCCAGTGTTCTTGAGGGGAAGCCAAATACTGCACGACTGAGCTTTTCAGCATTGCATAAAAAACACCTGTGTGACGCAGGCTATCAATGCGTGGCACTGCGTTGCTGAATAGTGGTTTTGGTTACCAGCTCGAGTTTTACGATACCAGATTGGCAGCCGTGAAGGCGTTTTGGGGGAAATTGTCATTCGTGTTCGGAGGGCCTCACCTCAAAGCCCGCGTCTTATTGCAAGTTCGCGAAAAGCGCTTGGTCACGGCCATTCTCGAACAGCTGTCAAGTTCTTGAGGGAAGTGTCTAGTGTTTTTCTTTCTTGATTATCAATTATGCTCAGTGTAGTTTTTCAATTACGTGCGATGAAACTATTTGCACTCACTCAAGAATATGCACTTGTACGTGTCGTGTGTCAAACGTCGTACGTCGTTTTGTGTCAAGTCTGCGTACTAGATGGGTGGCCTAAATTACTCGTAATAGCAATACAAACAAAACTTGAACTTATTTTAATATTGCTAAATTACGATAAGCTAATGATTATGCGATACAGTAAAACAGTGTTTCTGAGCTTGCACTGTCGTTTAAATGTTTGAAATTTAATTTCTCCGATCATGGCGATTGGCCAACTTACATCGATGATACGGGTTTCAGGATGCACAAATCTTTGAAATGGTGTTCTAAACAATAGAAAAATGGTGCTGAACATGCGGTATGTATGACTTGTCCGCAACCAATTACGGTGGTGAGCGTGCCTTTTGTGGCAAAAAAAGGGGAAAAATAACACTCCGAGACAACCACCAGTAGTGGGGTGTGATGGCATCCTCTGAGAACAGAATCCCACTAAGAGCTAACATAGGGAAGTGAATCAGTTAACTATGGCCTCTCGTGTGCAAAGTGTCTGTAGAGAGTCGCGGACTTCTACGTTTTACCTGTCCTAGCACACTTAATTACACGCGGTGTTCAACCATAGTTTTAGCGCATTATTCACTTTCCAGCTTGAAATTTGTGCCAGCAGCGCATGTCAGCTCACTGGAAGGAGTGTGCTATATTCCACCCTGGTTTATTTATTTATTTACTTATTTACTTATTTATTTTGCCAGGTCTTTTTCATTATGAAATTTATTGTGATCTTGTGCTAAGATAAAGGTGATTTAATTTAATTTACTGCTACGCACATACAGTTGTCATTCCCTCAAAGAGACCTGAATCCTCGCTTTCACTTTTTTTTAGCTTGGTTTGCTTAATGAAAGCATTTACATTGCGAACAATAGAAGGAGTGAAGGGCACCAGATGGAAACTGTCGTTTTCAACTGATCCGAATTTGTATTTTTTTTATTTTAGTATTTGTTTTGTTTCGTGCAATTATACGCAAATATGGCATAAAAGCCTAATAATAATAGTAATAGTAATATAATATTGATATTATTATTGTTGTTATTATTATTATTATTATTATTATTATTATTATTATTATTATTATTATTATTATTATTATTATTATTATTATTATTATTATTATTATTATTATTATTATTATTATTATTATTATTATTATTATTATTATTATTATTACCAAAACTTGGTGAGCATGTCGTATTGGCAAGTTTGTCACCTGATGAGAGAAAAACTAACAAGAGCATATCCATAAACAGGTACTATATCGGCAAACAGGAACGTACAGTCGCCCATTTCTTTTTTAATTTTTTTTTTTTTTGCTATTGTACACGCGAGCGTCGACTGCCCAGTCCATAAGTGGCGTTTAACACAGCACAGTGGCAAAATAAACCAGAATGCTTGCAATACCTGCGAATAACAGTTCTGTGGAGCTGTCTTCTGCTAAGCTGTTTCGGTAACCGCACCCCAGGAGGCCCGCAACAAGCGCTTGAAGATTCGGCGGTTGATGCTCACGCGTTCAGGTTTTGAAAAAAATGGGCGGGCGTACACAAATGCGCCGTCTTCGTCAACTGATTGGCCGCATTCAGACATGATGACACTCCCCAAAGCAACTCAGTGATAAATATGGCAACATTTCGGAGCACTTCCGACCGTTTTGCATCCGGACTTGAGATGTCTGTACACGTGCTCTTGCCTGTCATTTTAGTGTTGTCTTTTCCTGAATATACTTGCACAGTAACATTGATCACATCGCAGTATTTGCTACACTGTTCTTCATCGTAATGCGAGGTATGAAAGTGGTCTGCGATGCATTATCGACCCGGATAAAGTGATTGCTAATTCTTTGAAAGCGGCTGTTCTTTGACTGTGTTTCATCTGTACTCAATGTCTGTACGGTGTGCCTCAACTGACCAACAATTATTTCACGTGCCGCAGGACACTCCCACTCCTGTGTGCTGATCCTCGCTTCGTGGCTCCCTCTCACGGTTTCCACACTCCTGAAGCCAGGTACGCGCAGTTTATTCGCATTTTTTTTTTTTTGAAGCGTGTAACTTACCATGCTGCCACTTTGCGAGAAGCCCTGCAAGAGCGCGAAGGCTTCCGACCATAGCACGTAGTGTTGCATTTTGCGAGCATCTTTGATTCTGTCGCCTTTCTACGTTCGAGGGTGAGCTTGCGTCATGCAAACTAACGTTGTCGCGATGCAGCGTTGTTAGCTTGCTTCGCGCTCATCCGATGCTTGTTACCTTATCGGAAAGCGTCCTTTGCACGCACCGGCGTGCGGGTGAAGGAGTGGTTGTCGCGGGGAAATTAACATATCTGGAACGTCTTTATCGGTCGCCAGAATGACGAGGCTGCACGTGAAAGGGAGCAGAACGGGGCGGGCCGCGAGAAATGCGCGCGGCCGCTCGTTTCGGCGGGAAAGCCGGTGCATGTGCACAAATCTAATGGCATCTTCGGCTGAGCTGCACTGGTACCGTGACGGTGGAAAGGAAGCTACGTCAAACACCGCCCGAATTTCACGCCTCGCTATACGGGCCAGCCGAACGTGTGAACCACAAAACTCGAATCCGCTACAGCAGCGCTGTATGCGAGAGACGTCATTAGGCAGACGACGATTTCCATGCGTCCTGTTTGTACTGGTAATAAGAGAGCAAACAAGAGAAAATCAAACGATGGGGGACACTTGCGAGACGCTACGTGTCCAGTTGGGTGCGCATCTGTTCTCCGGCCGGTTGTGTTGCATCGATTCTGCACCAACTCGACGAGGGTTACGGCAATTTTCTCATCGCCTTCCGGGTGTCTAGTGGAAGCCTGGCCGCAAAAGTAGCCTTCTGCGAGTACGGTCGGACGATGTAAGCCCACGTACGTTTTCTGTGCCGTCCAGCCATGTTCTCCGGCAGCGCCAGCTGTAAATTACGCCTGCAATGATGGAACGTTGGCGCGTCGTCTGCCAGCGCGCGCGGGCTGATGGGATTGCACCATGCTCCACCGTGAACCTCCGCCGTGGCGTGCACTCGTGTCGTGGCCAGCCGAAATGTGGCACTGCACCCGTGGTGCCCAGACGAACGTACGGCACGTGCACAGAAAACGCCACCAGTGCCGCCAGCTGAAGATGCCATTAGACTGCGCAAGAACGCCGTCGGCGCGCGCTGAGAGACTGGATTTTTTTCTTTTATGTTCGCTTCTTTCGCGCTTCTCCTATTATTCTTGTTGCGCGGCCCACCTCGTTTTTCGTGCGAGCCTTGGACGCACGTGCGTCGTTGAGCCATTCTGATGCAGCCAGCGCCGTCGATTACTTCCGGATGCCGCGCTGTAAAAGGGTGGAGTCGCGCGCATGCAGTGCTCGTCGCAGACAGCGTGGGAGGCCAGCCGGTCTGTTACACTGGCGGCGGCCAGACGAGTCTCGGGACTCTCATCGGGCCGCAGAGTAGAGGTGCGCGAGAAAAAACCGGCTATTCATCACGGCCGCTAATACGAGCGGGTTTGGTGCGTTCTTTGCAGAATGCAATACTGCATTCAGTCAGCCTCGAGACACAAGAAGAGCACATCAGCTGGGTATAGTTCTCGGTGTTGCGATTTATTCTCGTGATCATGTCATTTTGTGTTGATTTTTTGCGTTGTTTTTTTTATTCATTCATTTCATTACCTCAAAGGTCCCGGTTGTGATATTACATGAGGGAGTGGGTGATAGAAAGGCTATTAGTATAATGGCAGTCATGCAGGCTTTTTGTGGGAATTTGACATTTATGTTCCGTTCGGTAGACCACGCCTCAAAGCTCTCGTCTTGTTCCAGGTTCGCGAAACGCACTTGGTCACGGGTACATCACCGTCGCTGAACAATGTGAATGTCTATTGCTGCCATTTTTAAACTCATTTTGATTGGAGCGAGGGAGCAACTGTTAAAACTCTCGTGGCGTGAAGTTTCTGCCCCTATTAAGCTACTCCGCAATTACTAGCATATTCTTCTAAAAGCCTACTGTTTTGCCTAACTTATAGAGAAAGCAATACTGAACGACAACTTTGGAAATGCCGTTGAAATGGGTGGAACAGAAGGAAAAACATGGAAGTATTTAAAAAAAAGGTTGCCGTCACTTTTCATTTCAGTCGCAGTTCTTCATTTTGTCTGAAAGAACAGAGTAAAGAAAAGGGCTTGCCACATGACTCGAAGGATCCGCAGTGTATGAAATATCGCAGTTTACGTTGGCTATAGTTAATGCGCTCTTTATAGAAGCGAGGACAGCTCGATGTAGTGCAGTGGGTGCGAAGCGAGCGGCCATAAACTGAGAACGTGCAACAGCTGCATTTGGAACAGCAGCGCTGCGTTTAGGCAGCCAGAAAAATATCTCACGTCAACGGGCTCGCGTGCACGAGCTTCTGCGACGACTGGGCGAATCGTGGAACGTCCTTCTTACTCGCCCTCTCCTTCGCGACAGCCGCCGAAAGATTTATGTCGCGGGTCCCCCCTGCGGAAAGGCTGTGCGGCGTTACCTTGTCGCCTGTTGCCAGCGATTCTCCATTGTAATTAGGTGCCACAGAACTGTGCGGAGCATCTTTAGCGTGGCGACATGCCTCGGAGCGCTATCCGCTGATAGTTCGGGTGTCCGGCGCGGCGACGAATGCGCGGTCTAAGATAATGGGCTTGCATACGGCGCCTCCTGAATATGTATGAAGCGCGTCTCTGCCACTTTATTATGCGCGGGCGCAGACACGTGGAGAAGCAAACACACTCGGCGGCACGGCTTAGCTGAGCGCGGCCAAACGAAAGCTGTCGCATAGCAAGTAGGCATTCGTTCTACTGTAACAAAGCCCGAAGAATAGGATTGTGCTTTCTTAAGTAATAAAGAGTGCTCATTACGAGGGAGTTTGAAGAATACTGCTGTGTGCGATCAGAGAGCCCGTTATACACCAGAAAACTATTTTTGTTTCTCATTATTCAACGACGCAACAGTGATGCGAGACAGTGTGTTTTTTTTTTTGTTTCTGATGAGCACCATTTAAATTGGCAACGTAAACGAAAACACCAGATAAGCTTTCGACAATTCGATTTATTTGATTGATATGTAAGGTTTATTGTCCCAGAATTACCATAGGATTATGAGAGCCGCTTCGAGAATTCGAGGTGTACATGCTCGCCTGAAGGGATGATGTTGCGCCACCGCAGAAGAGAGTATCACTGTCGCCGCCTTTTAATTATGAGACATCTCCAGCTTCGTAATCGTGTAAGGACGGCATCAGCATGTGCAAAATGGCGCACCGCCAACTAATCAACGCAATCAACCTTCCTTTGCCTTATGTCTTTATTGCGTCGCTGATTTTGCTGGGAGTTCGTGCTCGCTAAGCCCAAACTAGCGTGCAAGACAGTTTTTCGTTTCGATCACCAATATCCACAAAAGCAAAGTGCCGGCAACGCATGTTCTCTTACCGCGACTCTCTAAGGGTGGGTGGCCTTTTTGGACATAGCTGGCATCACTGATGAGCAGCGAACGACGACAACAGTCTCGTGTGACGACGCGAGCTTCGTCCACATCCTTAACGACAATAGCGAGCGGGGAAGAAGAGGCTTGCACACGGATTGAATTTGTTGGGCGTTCTTCACCTCCCTTCCGAGGAAATGTCGTAAATCGGAAGAAGCCGTACAGTTTCCGCCTCCAGTTCGACTCGCTATTCATTGACCCCTGCGTAACGTACGCGTTGAAATGCCGAACATGCTTCTGTTTCGATGTTGGTTCATGCGACCATGACAGAAAAGAATAAATCTCGCTCTTCGTGGCTGTCAGAGTGAGTTTATAACATCGCTCTTTTCGACTCCGCTAATCTTAACAGTGGTTGAGATTGTAGAGATCTTTAGCTATAGTTGACGCCGTTAACGTTGTTTTATAGCTCCAACGAGCAAGACATGGGCGCGGTCAACCTTTCTTTTTTTATTTTCTTATCACAATTTCGCTGTACGAATGAGCGTGCACGTTTACAGTTATGGTATGACAATAAAACTGTTTATTTTGGAAACACCAGGAGACCCAGTGTTATAACGGAGGATAATTTTCTACAGCAATCAACTATTTTTTTTTTGTATGAGTAACTTCGTAACAACAGATGCATTGCAGATTCTGGACGTTGCGACTAGGCATTCTAATCAACACCACAAATTAAAGGCAGCCAGACTCTTTAATAACAAGTGGAAACGCTTACACGGTGGCACGCCTAGCATGCTGATAAATGCGAAGAAATCATAAATGAAGCGATACGGGCGACCGACGCCTAACGAACGTAAAACCAGCAATAAAATAAAGGTGAAGTACCTCGTTCGGATCAACATCTCGCATGAAAGTTGCCGGCGCCTTCCTTGTGCGATTCTCGTCTGGGGCGCTAGTCAAAGGACATTTCATAGCTTAAGGTGCGATTTCTATAAGGTGCGTTCAGCAAATAAATTCACTCGCAGCATAATCGTAACGATTCGGGTACGGCCATGAAAATAACAAACAAAACTCACTTGATGCCGACGACTTGGCATTCCCTGTCGTATAAAGTGGACGCGAAAAAGTTCCCTTTTACAGCCTTCACGCGAAAGAAGAAAACGAGCGATAAACGCAGAGATTCGTTTATATAGTTGGTTCGACGATCGGTACTCGCCCGTCCGGAACGTAAGCCGTTTCTCCCTTCCGCAGCCCATGTGGCGTGTATGCACGACGTACACTGGCAGCGGGGGGAGGGGGGGGGGGGGGGTATGGAAACCCGGCGAACTATCGCGGCTCCGCAGCAGGAGGAGTCGCTCTTTTGGCTCGCGCTACAGAGACACGGGGAATGCGGCATTCAAGCCCGCTGAGCCAGCCAGGGGATCGACGCGCGAGTTTTAGTTCACGCTTTGGGGCAGGCATAAAGGCGGCAGGCTCCTTGAACGGGCCGGCTCAGCGCGCCGCAGTATGCGTGTGGACACGTACTTGAAAAGGTCCCCGGGGAGCCGTGATTTGTGGCTGTCAGCACCCGAGGCTCCCTCTCCTCGGCCT